ATACGATGCGACATCCGTTTACATGGGCTGAATGAATGCGCTTTCGCCATCTCAATCCACCTCTGTCTAACGACTTCAATGCGATGCGCTTTCTTTGCGCATTATGCTGTTTACATGACCACATTGCATGCGACAACTGGATTCGATGCGACTAAGTCGCATTCATGGAAACGCGGCTTTTGTCGTCGTTCCAAGCGCTTGCGTACCTATAGCTTCCTTTCCTTCCACTCTCCCGGAGTGGCGGTCCCGTCGCGCGTGTCTAGTTTCCACCAGCTCCTCGGGGTGGGTCTGTGTCGTGTGCAAAATAGCTTCTTTGGTCATCCACCTTCAAAGAGTCGAATGGATCATGATTTTTCTTTTAGCTTTACAAAATAATGAAATAATACACTGTTAGCTTTGATACTTGTCATTATTGGTGTTTATTTGTAAAGCAATTATCCGCATCAATCTTCTTTTTATTATTTTGATGTTTTTGTATGTTGTTGTTTTTGCTGAAAAGAAGAAAAAAAAGAGCTCTTCTCTTCCTCACAGTTTGTTCGCTGTTTTTAATATGACGTAATCTCACCGGCAAGCTCAACTCTCCAGTTTACTACTGAGTGTTCTTCAGTGTTTGACATTAGTTACCTTTTATGCCTCTACTTCACAAAGTTTATTGATTTGCAATAAAGAACCAAGTTGAGAGTACCATAAAGCAGGATGAATATTGAAACTCGAAAGGATTTAAATTGTGATTTAAATCATAATATGAGCCTCTAATTAAAATCACAGCAGTTTCACTATGGTTAGTTAAATCACAGTTTTGCCGCAAAAATTAACTGGAAAACATTTTGAATGTACTGTTTTTATTACTATATTTTTTACGTGCATTTATTTTGTAGTGATGTCCAACAAACATCAGAAAAGTACAATTATGATGAGACAGAACACGAGCAAAAACCTAAACTCTTCTGGGCAAATAATAAAATTGTAAGGTTCATTTTTACCTTCCAGTTAGTTCTTAGATACGTAATTTTCCACAAACGGAACGCTAGAGGACAAAACCAAAACAAGAAAAATATGCGTGCGGGTACACGCAAACAGACCGACAGAAAAAGAAAAAAAAATATTGTCTGAAAAAGAAAAAAAAAACACCAACAGACATACCGATTTATACGTATAAAGCAGATATTGCGTCGGCATGTATATTCGCATTGTCCTATACAAACTCTCGGCCTCTCTTACGAGGCTATGCCACCACCTTGCACGCTTTACAGCAAAAAGTAAATGCCACTGCTTGGAGGCGACGCGAAAACTGCACTCGGTTTAAAGGGTCACAATTCTACGTTCCTCAAACACAAGGACAAAAATAGTCTCTGGAAAAGGGGAACAAAGGGGAGGAAGGACAAACATAAACCTCCAAACACAGCTAGGTGTCTGGTGCGTGACCGAAAAAATCAGCCTGGATTTTTCGGTCGCGCACCATTCCCCTAGCTGTGTTTGGAGATTTGTGTTTGTCCTTTCTCCCCTTTGTTCGCTTTCTCAAGGGATTATTGTTCCCATTCTTGTCTAGCTCGCTCACCCCTTTGCAATAATTGCATTAAATTATCAGCTCAAACAGTTTTTTTTTTTTTTTTCTCATTTGCTGCTTTGCATTTTTCGTGCGACCCAGCGACCTTTTAATATTTCGTGTGGGCGGGCAGCGAAGGCAATGGCAACCGTCGAACAGTGTTAACGAAGGTAAACGACAACTATTTAGCAAGAAACATCCGAGAAAAGGCACGATAAAATGAATGGAAGCTGTTTCCACGTGGTTTACATGTTGTATGTAAATTCAAAAGAGATTCTTCTTTATTTTAATTTTATGATTTTATTAGAACTAAGGCTTTCAGGTAAACTAAAAATAACCCATTGTTTCTTTTGCTCAAAAATATTGCGCTGTACACAACAAGAATGAAACGGTCTTGATTAAGCAGCCCATTTTGTGACAGTTAAAAGTTCCAGATAATTTTTCTATCGTGACGTTTTCAATAATTGGACGAATCGAAAAAGAATTGTGTTATGTTCAAAAAGAGAAATAGAAACAGAGACACAAAGAGACGTAAAAGCAGTCTCCCTGAGATATAGGTGATTAAATTAGATAGATTTGAATAAAATAAAATATATCTTATTTATAACAACTAAATCGCATTAAAAAAGATGGATTTAAATCAAACAATAGTAGCTTCAATGAGTATTTTAACAATTGTTTTTCCAACCATGCCATACACGTCCCGAAGAGCACGTGGAAAGGCTGATAAGTTTGAGGTACTTTAAATCGGCTCCCCACAAACTTAAAAAAAGAAGAAAATGAGCACTAGTATTTCAGAATATTTGTCTAATTCGTATATAGTTATAATTGTAATGCACATTTCGCAATGTCCAATGACTTAAAGGCAACTATAGGGAGTATTAAATGGCGGCCATGTCCGTGTGCGCAAATGCTGAGCACGTGCTGACGGCGAGCTTCCACAGTTCTTTTGCCACGTGCATTCCGCACCATCAAGATTGCCGGTGTTAGCAAGTTATTAATGTGAGCTCGTTCTGAGCATGCGCTCTGAACGTCGCCCTCAAATATGGCGTCCAGTGAATACCGCCTATATTGCCGCGTAAATCGCCGAGTTGGCAACGCATGAGGATCCAACACTAAGGACACCGGACTGGAATCCCGCTCGAAACGGTTTTTTGCTTATTTGTAGTCCTGTACTGTTCTGGAAAATGTCAGCTTATTCTGAACTGCCATCGCGTATTCTGGTCTTGAACATTCCTAAGCAATCGAGTGTATAAAAGCAGCGGGTCAGTCACATTCCGTCGACGACATGATGCTCGACACCTTCCATTTTAGTTTGCATGCACAAGTTCGTCTCATTAAACATTTATTTTAAATTTTACGTTCGTTTATTAATATTTTTTTTATTCGTGACAATATTATTCCATTCCAAACTACTTGAGGTCAGAAATGGTAATTACAATAAAACCTTACTCAAAAAGTTATTAAATAGTAGCGACAATTTACTAAATGAATCCCCGGAGAAGGGGAACAAGAGGGACAAAGGACAAACATGAATCTCCAAACACAGCTAGGTGACTGGTGAGCGACCGAAAAAATCCGCCCGTGCTGACGGCGAGCTTCCACAGTTCTTTTGCCACGTGCATTCCGCACCATCAAGATTGCCGGTGTTAGCAAGTCAATAATGTGAGCTCGTTCTGAGCATGCGCTCTGAACGTATTAAATTACTACTCATAGATCCTTATCTGCAAGTCGACTAGCAGATGCGGAACTATGTTACGTTTTCTGCGCACAAAAATATTTACATCCATATAAAATTGCTATATTAAATTGAATTCGTTAAATTCCTGTCGGAGGAGCCCCAGGGCGATACCTTATTTTTTTTTATATGTGTTGTTTCACACGGACTACAATGGAGATTTTACATAGTACTTTTTTGAGAATGTGAATGTAGGCATATAAGATGTTACCTCAGTGAACGATGCAATGTATTCGAAATATATATATATTTTGAATACATTGCATCTAACTAACAACCTTGAATCCGTTCAAAACAGAGGTCTTCGCTTTATTTACTCTGACTACTCCCCATACACTAGCATATCAGGATTACGCAAATCAGCTAACCTTGACTTACTTTCTTTACGTCGAAGGGTGTCACGTCTCACTCTACTTCACAAAATCTTTTACCACAACAACCATCTAAAAGATTCTCTACTATCACCTCCCTACCGTATTTTCCCTCGTTTTGACCACTCATGTAAACTGCGCTCAATTACTTCGTCATCTGTCTCCTATAAAATGTCGACTTTACCATCTGCTATTGACGATTGGAACTCATTACCTGACCTCATTGTAAACATGACTGATACTAACTAGTTTGCTGCAGCCGTTAACCTCTTTCTTTCGGAAATACAAGTATAGATTACAGCGTGTTTTTTATTAACTATTTTTGTTGATGTTTTTAGTGTGTTCACTCCCTTGTATAATGCCCCCTGGGGCCCTCAAGGAAAATAAATGATGATGATGATGATGATATATATATATATATTTTTTTTTTCAATTCATCATCACAGTAGCAGTTCGACTATCAGTCACGTGAAATTAAGCTTCCATAAGAAAACGTCAATTGTTCAGTTCTCGTGGTCATTGCAAATGTTTCGGTACAAAAGTTAGAAGTGATATTCCGCGTATCACTAACGTTATATTGTTTCCCGATTTAATGAAGCTCTTGTTGAAAGGCCACTTTATAAATTTCAAGTTTCAATATTTCACCCTAGCCGTTTTTCGCGCAACACAGACATAATTAAATGCTTAACGAAAGAATTGTGATTTTATTTTTGTGCAGCAAATGATAGTTATATGAGATCTCTCAGCTATTGTATTTGCTGCTCTGTTCTTGATTTCGCTTAACACCTGTTGAATTTACAACCTGCAGATGCATTACCGTTGTGGCGGAGGCGCATTTCTGTGATAGTAACCTGCCGAACTCTCGCTACAGCTTTTTTTTTTGCCTTTTTCTACCAACCCCTATCATTGCGTGAATCAAGGATTTTCAAACATCCGCACAATAATTTGTCCGCCATTGCTTGATCGCGTACTTTGAGCATGCATTCGGCACCAGAACTGAGTCATCGTTTAACGTGACCTCGATTCAGCCCGTAATAAAATGAGTGCCGTGTCAGCGATCGGCGGGGACACCACTCCAATCACGCGCTTCATGCCTAAGAAATGGCGACCATCACTGCCGCTTGATAGACTTTTGAAAATGGTCTATTGTAAACAGGCAGTTATTGATATAAAGTTTTATAATAGGAAACTCCGACGCTTCGGGTCCCCGAAGCAGCTTTAAGGCTTTGCACGGCGCCTGTACAAACGTCCTGCGCTTGCCCAGTGCGATGTCCCAAGATGCTCGAAAGCACATAAGCGCTGCGGCACCCTATTCTAAAATAAACGAGGTCACAATGAGTCTTACCCAACAGCTGCCAGACGAGGAAGGCGAGCCAGGCGGTGTAGGGAAGGCACACGCACAGATGCACGTCCATCCAGAGCGCGCACAGTGGCAGCAGGGGCACGCACGGCACAGAATTGTGGCCCGCACTGTGGGCGCCGTGTCGAGGCTGTCTCACCACGGCCACGGCGAGCGCGAGCACCATCGCCAGCGCGACCGTCGCCAGGGCTTCGAGCCACCACCGGCCGGCGCCATTCACCACCCTCGGCACGTGCACCGTGAGAACGCCCATGAGGAACATGAGCGCCACCATGCCGCACACCAACACCGCGGTCCTGTGCGCCGAACACCTGGTCGGAACTCCGCCGCACGGTAGGGAAGCCTTGCCGCCGCCGGCGAGCGACGTCACGAAGCCCTGATTGACCAGCTCTACGGACCACGTCCTCCTATGGAAGGAACCGTAGCCGCCGCCAGCGCCAACACCGAGAACAGACCTCGCAGACGCCGTCGAAGATCGCAGCGAGGAATCGTCGACATCGCACGAGGACGTCACTCGGTTCAGCGTGGCACTCGAGTCTCGACTCAAGTCTCCAAGTTCTAGCGGCAAATGGTCGATGAGGCCGTACCGCAGGGCCAGGACCGACGACGCGGTGGCCAGGAGGGACACGATCGTTCCCAAACCCAAGATGCCGAGAAGGGTGTCCGGATGCACAAACATGGCAGTGATGGACACCAGGAATCCCGCGGTTACAGCAGCCCTCCGGGTCCCGCTGGTAAGGCTACAGAGAAGTCCGTCCGCAGACAGCGAAGACAGCAGTACAGAGAGTCCCCAGAGGGACGCAGCAACCGCAGACGCGAGCCCACATAGGGACCCGAGGCCCAAGACCCAGACGAGGCCTGGAAGTCCTCGGATTAGAGGGGCTTGTAGAAGGGGAGCCGAGCCTACGAGCAGGGAGTGAGGGGCCAGAAGGGTGATGGCTACGGAGCTGCTGAAGCAGCCCAGGAGGCTGAGCAGGAACACGACGCTGACGGCTGAGGGGACCACTCGAAACCGGTTCGAGGTTTCCGTGGCAGTTTGGGAGACCAGATCATACCCCATGAAGGCGAAGGTGCACGTGGCTGCACCATTGAATACCTGCGTGGAAAAAAAATTCTTAAATATATTTACTAATCGCTTGACGCCCATGAAAACTATTATTTCCAGTTTAGTACACTGCAAAACAAACAAGAAAGGAATACTAAATATTTGACGCTTTCTGAAAGAGACATATCGACTTTCCTTCAAAGGTGCCTAATTTAGAAGGTAATCTCAGTTTCTTTTTAGGCCTGACCTGAGCTTAAATCCCACTTTAACCTAATGGTTACATTTTGTTAGTATCCTCAATTCAAGGGGCGCCGCGAAACGCAAGGTAGGTAAGACAAATCACCTATCCTGCTTTTCAAATAATAGACATTTTGCAGTTCTACGGTTGAAAAATAATGTAAAACATAACTTAATATCCATCATCACGACACTCAAGTCCAACTATCGCGCTCAAAATAATTTGACCGACAGTACCTAGAGCTATACCTGGAACGAATAGGTATAGCATCTGTGACACCGACGTATTGTTGTTGTAGGTCATCGATCACGAATATTTTTTGTCTCTCTCGCACTCCTTCACGTGCGCTAACACCTGGGACCGAAAAATGCGAATTCATGAAGCGCGCTGCTTCTTTTTTTATGATTTTATAAAAAGTCACGCAGGTCTAGACTGATGCCTTATTTACAACTCTCCTTACATGGTGATATTTCAAGCTCCGCGATCTCCACAAAATCGCAGAACCTGAGGGTGCGCCCCACACTGCAGGCTTCACTTCAAAATCGGCTTGCACCTGAGTAGAGATCAAGTCTTTTTAACGCGGTCTCTGTTTTATGAGCCGATTTTCATGGAGCTCTCTAACGTTTGGCTGTAGCAGCCGACTGTATTGCCGGTTGTTACAAAAAGCCGACACGGAAAAACGTTGCGCCCAAGAAAAAGATTTCACTCCCCCATGCAGTGTTTTTTGAGATTATGAGCCAAGTGCTTTGCCGACTGAGCTAAGCAGGGTCAATGGTGTTAAACCACATAAAAGCGAGTTCATTCGCACGACGCGTGAATGAGCTCGCGGGCTTCGCGGCCTTTCCTGTCTCCTGTCATTTCACGCGTGAGTAAGCAATGAAATCGAATCTTCGTTAGGCGGTTCCGTTCCAACACCATTATCTTCCCTTGAAGGCCTATCGCACATACTGTGTCTACCAGTCCTTTCCAGCATGATCAGGCTTGTTTTTTGTTTTTTTTTTCTCTTTGTATAGTACAGTCACTGACTTCCTAAGAAACGCGAGGTGTGGCGAGTCCCGAGCCGTTTCTTATCTCCACTTTGTTATTGAGTTGCATGCTGGTATGTGTCACACCATAAGGGCGCCGAAGAACTAATCACTACGCAAGGAACCTGACTACTACAAGCGATGCCCTACATATAATAACTTGCCAACGTTTACTACAATCAAGCAAATCAGAGTACATTTTCTCGGAATAGTGTACCGTAATAAGGATGTTTCCGCTCTTTATCATAGTGCTTCCGGGTCTTAACGAATGCAGTCGAGAGCTACGAATCTAGCCTTTATAGCGTGTGTGATTCCACCGAAAAGAAGAGCCGTGCGATAAGGATTGAATGGAGAGCACGTCTGCAAGTGAAAAAGCGATAGAAATAATAACGATACAAAAATCACCGTCGGCTTATTTCACGCGCGACAGCTAACACCCATATCATTCGGGAACAGCACGAAGATTAGGACGAATGCAGAATGAGCCTGGAACAAATAACACGCTATTCGAATGACACGATGCAACGCATCGGCGTAACATTTTGGTACCCGCGTAAAGCTGAGGGGCCAATCGAGCGGCCAGCCTTTTATGTGCAAGAAGCGTCATCAAGTGCCGCGTGTCAAGGCAGCGTGCAGGGTGGAGATAGCGTGCCTCGGCTACAAGAAAAGCTGGGATCCGCCATTGTCGCATATATTTCCCCCTTTTTTCTTCCCACGCAAAATCCCCGGGGCTCTGAGATGACTGAGGCGAGAGAACAAGTACGGTCCCCCTGAGCTAGGCGAATAAAAGCGGCCCGGATCAGGCGTTCAACCTTTCTTCTCCTTTCTTTTTTTTTGTTTGTTATGTGAGCAGGCAGCAGTCTAATGATTAGCCGATGACGTAATTTCAGAGTTAAAAAGACAGCTTCACATACTTTAAGATACCTATCAGAAAGGACGAGAGTTGACTCTTTTTGAAACGCAGTAAATTAATTTATTCTATCCATTGTGCTTGCGACGGAAAAAAAAATTGTAAGATTGGGTGTCAAGCTCTCAACACATTTTCACACTATTCGATTTAATATATTGGCCTTTTGTATGCACTGTTTGCCGCGGTTATCGATGTGTTTTACTCGTGAGTAAAATTCCGATATGTAAACTTGATGAAGAGCGATAGATAAACGATAAAATACGCAAAAAATGAATTACTCACCACACTTTGTTTACGTTTGGTTTCAAAGAACCTCTTCTATAATTACGTACCTCATAAAAAGCAATTAGTGTTGAGGTCACATGACGTCAGTTTCCCCGCTAAATCTAACTGTAAACTGAATTTGCAAACAAGTCACGCGACCACGTCACGCGATGTAAAAAAAATCAGCTAAATGTACAGAAGGAAACTGATCTTGTGTATATGTCACGTGACATGAAGCCATGTGACGTCATTTCTCCCGTTAACTTTAGTATTTCAATATGCAGGCGACACGGTGTTGGTTTCATGTCATGTGGATTACTTTGTCGCTAATCAAAATCTTCAAAAAAGATACTGCTTGTACAACGGACTGGTTCACTTCGAACCTGATTAAGGTAACTGCGTCAAAGACAAAACTGGCTCGTTTTAAAAATTCACTTAAACTGGCTGAACTCCCACTTTTTGTAGCACTGTATACTTCCAGCTATAGATCTCGTGATTGCAAAACTATTCAATGTGTCAAATCTGTAAAATACCTCGGGATATACATCGATTATGATTCATTCTGGTGTACGCATATGACGTATTTGTGCAAAAAGTTAAGAAGCGTTTCGTACTTTCTACAGAATGTTGACATGTTTCTGCCTTTCTGTATTAGGACAATAATAGTACAGCCTTTAGAATTCCGTTATTTACGGTACGGCCTAACACTTTTTATGGGATGTTCGCTGTTCTGGCACACAAAAGTTAATTCGTTGTTAAAAAGTATTTTGAAAAGTGTCGCGTTTGACATACCAGACGTCAGTCTGCAGATATATGTCAGGAACATTACATGCCGTCTTTTGAGGTGCTTTTTAGGAAAGCCGTTGTGCCGCGCCATTTCTAGTGCTCCGATTTCAACGTGGTTTCTATTCAGCAGCGGCCAGTGAGGCCATATCTTTGCTTTGAGGTACCGCGTATTCAAACACGTGTTGTTGAGTGCTCAAGAGTGTATTATGTGCCGCATGTATTTAACTGACTAGCAGAATCATTGCTGCTTATAACATCTAGGAAAAATCTTAAGAAAGCGGTATGGCATTTAGAGGAATCAGTTAAAATTTTAAACTTCACTGTTTTTTATTTTTCATTGTTCTTTTTTTCTTTTAATAAACATTCAGGTTGCGTTGTGTCGAAGATGTTGTGAATACGTGTATCGTTTCGGTATCGGCTAATATACACAGAGCTTTCAGAGAACGGGTGTGCTATAGAATAGAAATATTTTCAATTAATCTTCTTTATTTAATCTATCTGATTTTGTCACCTGCCAGGCCAGGTACACAGGCGCTTGAGGCTTACTCCGGCTGGCTATTGTATTGTGTAAAATGTTTATTTTAGCAATAAAGTTATGTTTTATGTTTTATGATCTATATAGCCTTAGAAGAACAAAGAGACACAGCTAATTCCTGTGTAACCCTCGTAGCAAAAAATACTCATTTGCCGATAAAGACAGTGACATGTCACTTATAAACTTACCGCATTTTCTGTGATTTTGGAAGCTTCATGTAGCTCTCGAAACCTGTTCTGGGCACCTTTTCACCTTGCCACCTTGACGCTCACCGCAGTCGTTGCCCATGTGCCCCGCCATTTGGAGACAGCAAGGTTTTTGCTAGTTATCCAGACATGATTTATAGATAGCTACATGAAGCTTTCAAAATAAAAGCAAAGAGCGATTAGCATATAAGTGACACGCCATTGTCTTTATCCACAAATGAGCATTATTTTTTTTTTGTTACGGGGGTTACACCGGAAGTAGCCGTGACTCTTTGTTCAGTCACGGCTATTTATATGATTACTTTTTTTTCAAATAAAAGTTCGTTGCGAGTGCACCCTTCCTTTGTCAACATGTCCCTGTTTCTTTTTTTTTTTTTTTGGCAACTAGAAGTCAATTTTGGCTTCACTCGGAAAGACTCTAACGTAGGTGAATTGAACGTTACTAGATCAAAGTCAGTTGACAAGCTTCCTAGAACGCCTGGTGCCTTCTCGCGGCGTGTCCGCTCGGCGGCGCTCGCGAGGCTATCAGATCGCCAAATGCACAAAAGCTGCCGAACGGGTGGCACGTTGGATACACATAAAATGCCGTCAAAAGCGATGTTCTTGCAGTTTTTACGGTAAACATAAGGTTTGCGCAAAGGATTGCGCGAAAAGAACGTCGTACGATAACCGTATTATTGCCCTTGGAGGGACTGCCGCTGGCGGCGCTACGAACGCGATCCACCCTTACTTTGGTGCAGGCAACAGAAAATAACAGTTTTCTAACGCCGCTCTACTGTGGAGCTTGTCAATACATATCTAAAAAAAAGAAAGATGTAGCGTCGTAGCCTTTGCGGTGCATACAGTACATCCCAAAATTTCAGTTCGATGTACACCGCACTGACGTCAATCTGACGGCCCCAACTTTTACGAGGAGCTTGATCAGCGTGCGATATAGCATATCAAGGAGCTAAAATGCGTATTAAAGACTAAAAGAAACCAAAAGAACCTAGGGTTTTGTTGTAGGGCCGAGAAAACCACAATTACTTTCTTGCAGTCAGTCACACGTACATTTGCTATTTTAATAAGTTCTACAACACGGATTATC